AAATATAATACTGAGGGGCACCTGGGTGGCTCAGTCAGTTAAGCGTCTGCCTTCGGCTCAGGTCATGATCCTGGGGTCCTGGGATCGAGCCCCACATCGGGCTCCCTGCTCAGCGGGAAACCAGCTTCTCCCTCTCCTCCCCACTGTGCTCTCTCTGTCTTTCTCTCAAATAAATAAATAAAAATCTTTAAAAAAGCTTTAAAAAATAATACTGAAAAGGATTGCTTGGGGGAGTAGGGGTTTCCTGATGCTTCTATGGCTCAGCGGGGGCTGGAGCAGCTACGTAAGGCTGCAGGACAGGTCTGAGCCAAATAGGGTGCCCGTGGCTTGGGAGCAGGGCGGTATGGATTTCTGTTTAAGCCGGGTGACCCACGGTTGGAAATCTAGGAAACATCCAGAGCCAGGAACAGGGAAGGGCAGCCAGGTGCGAGAGGAGGATGTGGGAAATGGCTTTGTGGGGAACATACCAGAAAGACAAAGGGTGTGCAGACAAACAGGCGGTGTAGACAATACAGTTGGAGGCCCGGCGTGACAAAGCCCAACGACAAGCAGAGGACATACTCACGTAGGTAGGGACTGGCCGATAGTCTGGCTTCTTGGTTTGGCAGCAGGAACAGCAACAGCAGATGAAGCGGAAAATTCTCCTGAGGGATTCGGAGGGGCTGGAAAGCGGTTAGGCAGGGGAGGGGTCTAGGGAGCTGGGCGGGGGCGGCTGGGTGCTTGGGAGGCAGGGAGTGAGAGCTCTGAGGGTATCACCTGAGCAGGTAGCAGAGGGCCTTGGGGGAGGGCAGGATGTTGAAGGGCACAGGCAGCGTCAGGCGCTCCCGGAAGTAGGACAGGTGAGCGTGGAGCGAGTGGACCTCCACATCCGTGTCATCCTGCGGCCAGGAGGCAGGGGCTCTGCAAGGGCCACTTTGGTACCCAGCCCTCCTGCCCGCCCCGTCTGCCCCCAGCTCCCCTGGTCTCCACGCCTCTTCTTCTGCAGTGTGCCCACCGCTGTCTTCTCCCCATTCCCATCTATCACCACATTCTCCTGCCTGGCTCCCCGTTCCCTCTCTTCCTCCCCATTGTCTTCCATCCTCTGACATCCAATTCCTGCCCAGGCTCTTCTCCAGCCACAAACCCTAGCCCCTCCATCTTCCCTGTCCCTTCTCGTGTTCCCATCTACTTTTCCACAATGCACCCTTCCTCCCAACCAAGAAGGAGAAAGAGCACCAGACTTGGGTCTGGAGAAACGAGTAGCCATTACTAAGACCTCATTTTGAAGATGAAGAAAATGAGGCCTGGAAAGGAACCCTTGCCCCAAACCACAAAACAAGAGCAGAGGCCGAGTGGGAACCCAAGTGTTTCGACTTCTTGCATTCTTTTCCTCTCCATCCCTGGGTCCCTTCTTCTCCCTGGCCTCAGCTGGCCCCGGCTCACCTCAATCTTCTGGAAGGAGTTGGTAATCATGGCAATGAGCATGTTGAGCAGCACAATGACCATGACGATGGTAAAGATGCTGTAGAGGGCCCGGCCCACGAATTCAGGCACCAGAAACTGAGGCATGTCTACGACGCTGTGCTCCTCCATACCAAACATGGTCTAGAACAGAAATTGGAATGTCTCGTTGAAACTGGCATGCAGGGCCGAGCAAAGGATAGGATGTGAGGGGTGGGAGGAGAGCCTGAGTGCCACCCAGACACACTCCTCCTCACCCTCCAGGACTCAGCCAAGGGCGTTCTGATTCCATGAAGCCCTTTGGACCATCCTGGCCCATACTGACTCTTGTTATTTCTGAGCTCACACTCATTTTTTCAGTAAACCAATATTTACTGAGCATATAGTAGGGCCAAAGGTGCTAAGGATGTAGCCTTGAGGAAGTGGGGGCATGAAGACCAGTTAAGAAACTTGTCGTGGTTGGGGTGCCTGGGTGGCTCAGGCAGTTGGGCATCTGACTCTTGATTTCAGCTCAGGTCATGATCTCGGAGTTGTGGGATCAAGCCCTGTGTGGGGCTCTGTGCTGAGCATGGAGCCTGCTTGGGATTCTCTCTCTCCCTCTTTCTCTGCACCCTCCCCCAGCTTGTGCATGCTGTCTCTTTCTCTGTAAAAAAGAAGAAAGAAAGAAAGAAAGAAAGAAAGAAAGAAAGAAAGAAAGAAAGAAAGAAAGAAAGAAAGAGAAAGAAAAAAAGAAAGAAAGGAAGGAAGGAAGAAAAAGAGAAGAAAGAAAAGAAACAAAGAAACAAAGAAAAGAAACTTGTCATGGTCTGGGTGAGATGGGATGGTGATTTGGACCACAGCAGCGGCAACTCCAGTGCCGCCTCTTCCAGGAAGCCCCTCTGAACTCCCTTCTCTACCCCCAGTGGAATGTGCATATCTGTTAGTCCCTCACAGACCCGACTACATTCTCCCTCCTCTTGCATTAATTTGTGAATCTGTCTTACTCCATCCATCTCAGCGCCAGTTCAGGCCTTGATTCCTGCAACCGCCCCTGCGGCTGGTCTCGGCTTCAGTCTCTTGTTATTCCATCCTCCACGTGGCATCCAAGGTGTTCTTTCTAATAGCTGATCGGAGGTATTGTACTTCTGCTTGTCAAACTTTAAACGCTCCTAATTGCTCTCAGTCCAGATGCCTACCATGCAGCCTCCCTGAGACGGTTAGCAGAAATGTCTTTGACTGAATTAGGTGTCACCCATGAATAAACAGCATGGGAGGGCTCATGTTGTCTGTGCCACCGTGCAGTGACCGGTGGCACCAGGACCCACGAAGCAGACTGGCATGAATGGTTGCTGCCCCTGGTGTTAAGATTCATGGTTGAAACTGTGCAAGCTCAGTTCCTTTAAGCTAGCATCCTGAACGTGGGATGTGAACAAAGGTTCTTAGTAAGAGAACTGGTCTGAATAAAGCCTCCATTTACACTGGAACCAATGACAAAGCCTTGACCAATATCCACAGGCCCTAGCGTGGCTCCTTCGGCATCATCAATAAAACCATCCCATAATTGCACTCATGAAGAATTTATAATGGAATCATTGCTTGAAAGGCCACCGGGAGCAACCTGGCTGGCCTGAGAAAGCCCAAGCTTCTCAGGAGGACATTCATGAGCTCCGTGACCTGGGGCTCTACCCTCTCCAGCTTCCTCTCTCTCAGGATTGCCTCCACATGCCAACCGTGGAAGACATCTTGCAATTCTTCAACCAGATGCCCCAGCTTTTCCCTTTCTGCCCAGGATGCCCTGCACCTTCTCTGAAGCCCATAATCCTTAGAGGTGGAGTCAGGATACTCCCTTTTCTATGAAATCTTTCCTGATTACCCAAGGCAGAGGAAGGGGCTCTCCCCTCTGGGGATCCTCAACATAAGCCCTCCTTCCTCACAGCACTTAGTGCCCCAGATTGAGCTTATTTGTGCACACTGGTTATCTTCGTCATGAGACTGGGTCTGGTTCACTCCCTCTGTCTCTGCTTCCAGTGCTGGGGACAGGACTTACTATGAAGAAGGTGTCAGTAATTGGGTGTGAACTCAATAACAATAACAAAAAGCCCACCACAACTGAATGACAAGGTGAATGGGCATAAAATGTGGGCAAATGAACGAATGGACAATGAGTGAGTGAATAAACAAATACAAGAATAATTGGCCATATTTGGGAAGAACTGAGCATCAAAAAGAATAATGAACTGTAATGGATTCTTAAAAAAAAGTCTTTGTGTCCTTAGTGACTTTCAGAAAAGAAGAGAGCACTTCTTTATAGAAGGACGCCACAAATAAATGTAGAAAGAACAGCATTAGAAGATCACCAAGATTCATCTAGGGATGCTAAAGCCACAGAGTCAAAGTTGCGAGGGAACAGGTTAGTCACACGGTCTCCACATATCTTTCTGTTGCTAAAAGAGCATCCTTAGTAACTTTGCAGTGAAGAGGTTTGCTAGGCCAGTAGGCCTAAAAATGGGCTACACTGACATCTTCTGTCTCCTGATGTGATGCAGTGGAAAACCCACATCATCAACTAGGTTGTATTCTGTCAAAATTGCTTAACTTGAATCTTACCACAGGAACTAGTCTGATAAATCCCAACTATGGAACACTCGCTACAATATACCTTGATCTGTTCTTAAAAAAAGTTCATTTGTCATGAAAGACAAAGAAAAGGTAGAGGGTATGTTGCAGATTAAAGGAGACTAAAGAGGTAATGACAACAAAATGTAACACATGACTCCAGATCGGATTTCAGATTTTTAAAAAGCTAGAAAGACTTTTTCCTGGCAGGGGGATATGGGGGCGCAACTGGGAAAATTTGAGTAAGAACTGTACAGTAAATAATAATTTGGGATCAATATCAAATTATTTGTTTATTTTTAAATTTTTTTGAAAGTAAGCTCTATGCCCAATGTGGGGTTTGAACTCATGACCCTGGGAGAAAGAATCACGTGGGATGTAGAGCCTACTTGAAAAAGAAAGAAAGAAAGAAAGAAAAATAAATTAAAAAATTTAAGATTTTATTTATTTGAGAGAGAGAGAGAGAAAGCACGTGCGAGCACATGAGCGGGGGAGGGGCAGGGGGAGAGGGAGAAGCAGGCCCCCAGCTGATCAGGGAGCCTGACATGGGGCTTGATCCCAGGACCCTGAGATCATGACCTGAGGTGAAGGCAGACACTTAACCGACTGAAACTTAACCAACTGAACCACCCAGGCGCCCCAAAATAAATTAATTTTTTTTTAGAGTTTTTTTTTTAAATAAATTAATTTTTTGAGTGTGATAATGGTTTTTTGGTTATGCTCTTAGGAAATCTCCTGAAATATTTAGGGATGAAATGTCATGATGTTTGCAACTTACTTTTAAATGTTTCGAGGGAACAAAAAAGAGTAAGGAGAACAATAGATGGAGCAAAATGTGACAAAATATCATCAATTGATGGAGCTAGGTAAAGGGATTATGGGTGTCCACTGTGCTTTTAACTGTTCCATAGGATTGACAGTTTTCAAAATAATAAGTTTGGGAAGAAAGTGAGTAAATGAATGAGTTAACAAACAAATGAATAAGTGTGAATCAGTGAGAGAGTGAATTAATTATTGCCCAAACAAGAGATTAATTATGAGTGAATAGATGAGGAAGGAGGGGAAGGCAGAGGTGATCACTAAGCTCCAGGCTTCTCCGTCCCAGACTCCCACCTGCCCATCTTGCTTCTGCCCCAGCATACTTGCCCAGCCGCTCTGTCTCCTGGTAGGGCACATAGATGCTGTTGAGACCACAAAGGAAGGCGGTCAGGATGATCATGAGGATGAACATGAACCTGGCAGGGGAGGGGAAGAGGAGGGGTCAGAGAAAGTCTTCACCTTGGGAGAAGTCAGGTTCTGGGAAGAGGGATCGGGCGATGCCCTCCCAAGCTCAGTATCTCTTGACAAGTATTCCGTTTGGACTATTAAGAATAGAGAAAGTCGGGGCGCCTGGGTGGCTCAGTCGGTAAGCGTCTGCCTTCGGCTCGGGTCATGATCCCGGGGTCCTGGGATCGAGCCCCGCATCGGGCTCCCTGCTCACCGGGAAGCCTGCTTCTCCCTCTCCCACTCCCCCT